GGGCCTCTTGCTGGGATGGGATGCCGCAGGACATGTGGGATCAGGGTGAAAACACTTTAACACATTGCTGTTTTGGTGGTAGGGATCCCTCCCAGACCCTCATATGCACCAAGCACATCCTCTAAATTACACCTTCAGCTTTATCAGAGAATTTACAATGGAGCAGGCATGGTGGCATGTGGCTGCAATCCTTGCATTCTGAGGTTGAGACAGGAGGATCACAAATCTGAGGCTGTCTACCAAGTTCAAGTCTGGGCCTGCACTGCATAGCAAAATCCTGTCTCCAGAACATTTTTTTTCAGTGTCAGGGATTGAACCCAAAGCTTTTGCATACAGCTATACCCAAGCCTTTTCTTTTATGTTTTATTTTGAGACAAGATCTCACTAGATCAGTAAATTGTAAAGACTGGGCTTAAATTTGTGACCCTCCTGCCTCAGCATTCCTGAATGCTAGGATTACAGTCATCCACCATAATGTTGGGCTCAGAGTTTTGTTAACTGGGACAAAACTCTGCAGCTTGGTTGTAGAAAGCTTGTCTAGCACATGCAAGGCCTTGACTTCAATTCCCAGTACACTCACACTATACACACACACACACACACACACACACACGAGGAGTCAACACAAGCGTTCTACCACCAAGTTACACATCTAGCTTCTGCAACTTAAAGTTTAGACATAAACCAGGAAGAGTGGCACATGCCTATAATCCCAGAATTTGGGAGGCTGAGGCAATAGGATTATGAGGAGTTTGAGGCCAGCCTGGGCTACATAGTAAATTCAAGGCCAGCCTGAATTACAGACAAGATCTGGTACCAGCACAAACCTTGCTCTTCAAGGAACTCAGAACAAACAAGAGTGTAACAATCTTAACTATAAGAAAGATTATTATCAAGAAATCAACCAATCACAAGTGTTGGTGTGGCTATGGGAAAAAGGAACCCTTCTTCACTGTTGATGGGAATGTAGACTGGCACAACCACTCTGGAAATCAATGTGGAGAGTCCTCAAAAAAACTGGAACTAGGGGGCTGGGGATTTAGCTCAGCGGCATAAGCGCCTGTCTTGCAAGCAGGCAGTCGTGAGTTCGATCCTTGGTACCGATAAAAATGAAAAAGACAAAAAAAAAAAAAAAAAAAAAAAAAAACTGGAACTAGAGGTCCCATTAGACCCAGCTATTCCTCTTCTGGGTATCTTCCCAAAAGAATTAGAAGCATCATACCACAGCAATATATGTTCATCCATGTTTATAGCAGCACAATTTATAACAGCCAGATCTTCGAAACAACCTAAATGCCCATCCACTGAGGAATGGATAAAAAAGATGTGATATTTTTCCTCAATGGAGTACTATTGAGCTACAAAGAAGGATAAACTGGAGACTTTTATAGGTAAATGGATACAACTTGAGACCATATTCATTAGTGAAATAAATCACACACATGTGTAAATATTGTATTGTCTCATTAGTGTGAGAAGCTGAAAGAAACAACTTATGTATATGTATACTACATATACGCATATAAAAGGATAATTAAGATAGTTATATTGCTGATTTCTCTGAGTTCATTGAAGAAATAGATTTGTGCTGGTGTTGCTCGAACAATTCAACACAAATGTCTTGTGCTCTGGTGACTGATTTAAGATGAAAATGTGTCATGTGTATACCATTGTTCCCCTGACTGACTGACATATTTTGAAATTTTGTTTTGTTTTCTTATTTCCTCTTTGAAATAAAATGGGTTTTAAAAAAGAAAAACAATGAAAAAAGAAAGAGAAAAACGAACCAAGGAATTTCCAAAAGAAGTTTAAATAGCTATGAAATATAATAAAGTATTTAGTAAGCTTTTTTTTTTTTTTTTTTTTTTTTTAGTACTGAGGAGCGAATCCAGAATCTATTGAGCTACATCCTCATTCCTTTTTTAAATTTCATATTTTTGGACTGAGTGTGGTGGCACACACCTGTGACCCCAGCATTTAGAAGACTGAGGTGGAAGGATCCCTAGGATTTCAAGGCCAGTTTGGGCTACAAAGTGAGTTCAAGACAAGCCTGAACTGTACAGTGAGACCCTGTCTCAAAAAGAAAAACATATTTTTTAATTATTCTTTTTTTTGTTTCGTTTTTTTCATTTTTATTGGTACCAGGGATTGAACTCACAACCACACACTTGCAAGGCAGGTGCTTATGCCGCTGAGCTAAATCCCTAGCCCCAGAAAAACATATTTTTGAGACTGGATTTCATTAAGTTGCTACATTTCTAAACTGGGCTTGAATTTGAAATCTGTCTGCTTCGGTCTCCCAGAAAGCTGGGGTGACGGCCTTGTGCCACCACACCTCCAATGAATTAATTTTTTATTGGTTGTCTTTCTGAGACAGGGTCTTGCTGTACAGTTCAGACTGCTCTTGGGCTCACTTTTGTAGCCCAGGCTGGTCTCAAACTTGCAACAACCCTCCTGCCTCAGCTTCCTGAGTGCTAGAATTACAGGAGTGCTACCTCACCCAGCTTTTTATACATTTAAATAAAAACAGTGATGGATTTCTGTGTAATGGTGCAGGGGAAGGGAAGTCTTCCTCAGTGAGCAGAGGAAGGGTCTCTGCAATACAGGAGACCATTGCCCTGGTCTGTGAGACTCCTTAGCACAGCAGCAGCCAGGAGGGGGTGGTAGGAAGTGAGACTGCAGGGCAGGGACCAGGAGTCACCAGAGAAGAGCAGGTTTTTGTTGTTTTGGTTTTTTTTTTTTTTTTTTTTTTGGTACTGGGAATCAACCTCATGACCTTGAGTTTGCCAGGCAAGTGCTGTATTGCTGAGTTATATCCCCAGCATAGGGAATTTTTTGAAACAGGGTTTTGCTGTGTAGTTCAGGCTGGCCTTGACCTCACTATGTAGCCAGGCTCGATCTTGAAGTGATCTTTCTGCCTCAGCTACCCAGTGTGGGGCTTACAGGGATGCACCACCATGTCTGGCTGGATAAACCCTTCTTTAAAAGCTCAGAAATTATTTCTAGCACAAACAAGGGTAATTCTTGGTGGCATTTGAAAATCTTCTACTACTCTGAGCAAAACCAAATCAAATGAGTGAAAGTCAAAACCAGAAATTCACTAAGGTGAGCATGCAAAAACTTCCCAAGATTTGTGCCTTTTTTACATGTACCATATTTCGTGCAGCCTTAAATCCTGATGACCTCACTGCAGACATGGACTTGGGCATTGAAGGCTTCTCTGCTATGAAACCGTATGTGCTTCCCATACAGCAGCATGTGTGTGCTGGAAAGTGTGCACTGCTGGGGAGTGAGCCTGGGGATGCTCCGCCACTGACCTACATCCCTAACTCTCTTACACATTTTTATTTTGCGACATGATCTCACTAAGTTGTCCAGGTTGGACTCCAACTTGAGGTTCCCCTGCCTCAGCTGCCTGAGTAGGTAGGGCTACAGTCATACAAAAGTCCAGCTTTAGGTCAGTCGCTTTTCTTTCCTTTTCTTTTTTATTTTTGTACTGGGAATCAAATTCAGTACTTTGCACCTGCCAGGCAGGCACTTGTGCCACGGAGCTTCACCCTGAGCCCCTAGACTGGTCTATTTTCAATTAAGAAGATAAAACTTTATGCAGATTAAGTGACATACAGAGTGCTATGCAGCTAGTAAGTAATGGAAACAAAATCGCCTGGTCAGTCTGATTTAGGACTTTTATTCAAGAAGCTCAAACAGGGTGTGGTGGTGTACAGCTCAACCCCAGTTGCTTGGGAGGCTGAGACAAGAGGATGGATCTCAAATTGATGTGTCTGGGTAATTTAGAGACCCCGGTCTTGAAACATAAAAAGTAAAAAAGGGCTGGAGGTATGGTCCTCTGGTCTTTTTTACATAAAAAGTAAAAAAGGGCTGGAGGTATGGTCTCTTATGAACATCTCTGGGTTTGATCCCTGGTACACACACACACACACACACACACACACACCTATGTATTTCACTAATTATGAATTTCTTCTTGTACTGGGGATCGATCTCATGACCTTGCACTTGCCAGGCAGGCACTTATGCTGCTGAGCTAAATCTCCGGCCCCCTAATTATGAATTTTAAGGCTAAATTGCTCACTCTTATGTTCCTAGCATTCATCTCAGTGTTTTTGACACAACTGACGGTTTAATAACTGTTGAATGAATAAATGTGTCTGCTTCCACTTCTCTCCTTCCCCTCCTCTCACCTGCCTCTCTCTCTCTCTCTCTCTCTCTCTCTCTCTCTCTCTCTCTCTGTCTCTCTCTCTCTTTTAACTGGAAATCAAACTCACAACCTTGTGCTTGCCAGGCGGGCACCGTGCTCCTGAGCTAAATGCCTGGCCCTCTTGTTTTGTTTTGCTTTGAGACAGGGTCCTGCTATGTAGTCCACACTAGCATTGCATTCTCTATGTAGCTCAGGCTGGCTTTGAACTTATAACAATCCTCTTCAGCCTCCAGGAGTGCTGGAATGTCAGGCGGGTGCCACCAGGCTCAGCTTCCCCTTAACGCGGATCTAGAAGCCGGGGCGTGGTGATTCCAGCCTAACGTCCCAGAATCTGGGAGGCTGAGGCAGAAGGATTATTGTGAGTTCGAGGCCAGCCCGCACCACAAAGTGAGTTCCAGCCTGAAATGCATAGTGAAACTGTGTCAAAAAGACCAGAAACCAACCAACCAAACCAACCAAAACCTGAAGGACAACCTTCGGGTTGTTGTAAGGTTTATGTCCACACACTGCTAATTTTTTTCCTGGGTTGTAGAGCAAGTGAAGAGATCAAAGCAGACATGGGGCACATGCCTGTAATGCCAGCACTGTGGGTGGCCGAAGCAGGAGGATTGCAAATTGGAGTCCTGCCTGGGGAATGCAGCAAGACTCTCTCAAAGTTTAAAAAAAGCAAGCAAGCAAGCAAAGCAAAGCAAAGCGCTGGCAATACAGGTCGGCGGAAGGGTCGGGGTTCGAGCCCCAACGCGGGAAGGGGTGTCTGCTTCTTCCCGCCCAATGGCCTGGGAGGAGCGGGTGGGAGTGGGGAAGGGGGTGGGGGATCGGCAGCCACCTCCTCCCTCGGCCGCCGCCCGGCTCAGCGCCGTGGCCATGCATGCTCCCCGGCGCGCGCTGGCTCCCGGCGTCCTGCTGACCCTGGCCTTGGGGCAGGCGCTCGCGTTGGGAGAACGCGACTTTCTCCGGTTTCTAGGCTTGGATGCGGCGCCGCCGCCCCGCCAGCCACAGCCCGTGCCGCGCGTGCTGCAGAAGATCGCGCGCGAGCGGGAGGCCGCGGCCGACGCGGGGCTGGCGCGGGCCCCGTGCACAGTGGCCGAGCTGGGCGCGCCCGGGGACGCGCTGCGAGCGCTGCCGGACCGAGGTGGGTGCGGGCGCGGGCGCGCGGGGCAGAGGGAGCCGGGCTCGGGCGGGGATCGCGCTTCCCTTCTCTCCTAGGATCCCAGCCGCCATGCCAAGGAAGCCAGGTACATATTCTTACCGACTTTTGAAGCAGGAAATTAAGGCCAAGACGGGAGGTCACGTGTGACCTGTTCAAAGTCAGACTGCTAGTGTGTGAATAAAGGAGTTTTCTTTTTTCTTGCAGAGCCAGGGATCGAACCCAGGGCCTAAAGCGTTCTGGGCAAGCGCCATCCCCAGTACCATACAGCTACATTCACAGCCTCTCAAAGTACAGTGCTACTGGGGATTGAACCTAGGACCTTTGCGCTGAGCTACTTCATCAGCTCTTTTCAGGTTGTTTTTTTTTTTTTTTTTTTTTTTTTTTTTTTTTTTTTTTGAGATAAGGTGTCGCTAAGTCGCCGAACTGCAGATAAGGCTCAAACTTGTGATCCTTTTGCTTCCCTCCTAGATGGCTGGGATTACCCTTATTCTTTCATCCACAATATACACGTCTTTCTTTGGGTTGTGGGGTGGGGGCTGTCTTTTTGAGACAGGATTTCACTGCAGTTCTGGCTGGCCTTGAGCTCACTTTGTAGCCCAGACTGGTCTCGAACTTGAAAGAATCTTCCTGTCTCAGCCACTGGAGTGCTGCGATTAAAGGCACGAGGGCCACTATGCCTGGCTACAATGGCTATTTCTGAGCCTAGTGTCTTTTTTTATGTTAAGCAGGGTTGAACTTTGGAGCTCAGTTGGCCCAGAAGTCTCTAGGTCATCTTTACAGATCCTTCCAGCCCATCCTTTCCCTCACCTCCCATCTAATTCTTACTCAGTCTGAGATGAGGGTTGAACATCTGCATTTCTATGCGTCCTCTCCGCAGTTGGTTTTGTAGCAAAAGGAGGGACGGTTTGAATGTTTTTCCTAGGAGCACTATTGAAGACCTGCTGTGAGCCAGGCTCCTTCCTGCAGGCCCGCGAAAATCTGGAGACCAACAAGGAAGTCTGCCCTTAGTTACTTAAAGTCTTTGCCCCTAACGTCGAGATCAGGCCTTCTGAACTTGTCAAAGTTGATAGGGAGGGGGAGACAGAAAGGACGTCCAAGCTTCCGATGGATACTGTAGGTCTCCAGGCTCTGGCGGGTGGGATCTGATACATTGCTGAAGTTGACGGATCATTCTGCCGAACATTCACAGCTCCATGTAACCGACGCCCCGTGGTGGTTGTGGACATAAAATATTTGGGCGAGAGCACGCACTTTTCCTGTTAATTTAGGATAATTTTTTAGGAGATTGTTAGATCAAAGAGCAGGTCCATTTAAACTTTTGAGACAAAGTCTCACTATGTAGCTCAGACTGGCCTCACTCACTGTGTAGCCCAGGCTGTTCTGAAACTCTCCATCTTATTGCATCAGTCTCCTGAGTGCTGACATTTAAGCTTTTGATTTGTGGCCAACAAATAATCTCCAAAATTTATATCCCACCATAAGTGTGTAGGAATTGTCACTCCCGCTGGAATGATGTGAACTAATGTAATCCCAGCACTTGGGAGGTCGAGGCAGGAGCGTGGGCTGCACAGTGAGTTCAAGGTCAGCCTATATAAACTGACCTACAGCGATCATACTGTTTTGTTTGCTGCTGGGACACAGTTTTGCTACGTACCTGAACTCCTTCTCCTCTTGCCTCAGCCTTGGAAGGGGTAAGGTTTGGAGAAAGTGACAATTCGCCACTGGCGCTGTGTGTGGAAGGCTGGAGCGGCTGTGAAGCGCACAGATGGTGACTTGCGTCTTCTCTTTCCCACGCAGGCTTCCTCCTTCCCTCGGACTCCTGCCTGCAGCGGCTGCTCTCCTTCAACCTCTCTGCCATCCCGGACCGGGAGCAGCCGACCGCGGCAGAGCTGGGCTTGGACTTAGGGCCCAGCACCTACGAGGAGCTGGGCCCGGCGCTGGAGCTAGTGGTGTCGCTGGTTCCGCAGCCTGGTCTGCGGGCAGGGCCCCCGCGTGGGCGGGGCAGAGCGGTGGCGGAGCAGTCAGTGCCCCGGCCCCACGGCGTCCTCCGGGTCCGCCTGCAGGGGGCGCTGCAGCACGCGGCCCGGCGCCAGTGGTCCCGCCTGGGGCTGCTGCTGGACGTGCAAGTCGTGGAGGATGGGGAGCCTGGGCGTCACCGTCACCCCCGGGCCCTCTGCGCCAGGCTGCGGCGGACCCTGCGTGCAACCCTGCTGGTGGCGACCCTGGATCCTGCGCGGTGCCGCCACCCTGCCCGCCCGCGGCGGGCCGTGCCCGCTGCCCCCCAGGCTGCCAGCCGGAGCCTCTGCCATCGCCACCAGCTGTTCATCAGTTTCCGGGATCTGGGCTGGCACAAGTGGATCATAGCCCCCAAGGGATTCATGGCCAACTACTGTCAGGGCGAGTGTCCCCTCTCTGTGGCTGCCTACCTGAACAGCTCTAACTATGCCTTCATGCAGGCGTTGATGCAGGTCGTGGACCCCACGGTGTCCCCAGCTGTGTGCGTCCCCACCAAGCTCTCACCCATCTCCATGCTCTACCAGGACAATGGTGACAACGTCATTCTGCGTCACTATGAGGACATGGTGGTCGACGAGTGTGGGTGTGGGTAAGGGGCAGGCATGGGGATGGCTGGAGGGGGCCTGAGTGACCCAATAAAGTGGAGACCTTTTGGATCTAATTGTGAGTCCATCATTGTCAGCAGTGCCTGTGATCACGCATACACTCACCCTGCATCCCTAGTCAGGCATGTGACAGGACCGTTGGTTCTGGACTGAAGGATTAAGTGGTATTTACTGGTGGCCTTTGTATGGGCAGCCATGATTCTGTGTGTGACTTTGCACATGTTTCCCTGTCCTTTAAGATAGGCATTGTTATTTATGCTTTAAAGATGAGGAAACTGAGGTATAGATGTTAAATTAACTTAAAGTCACAGTTTTCCTGGTAAACTTATATATTAAATAGTGTTAGTTACAAAGAAAAATTAGGAGAGAGAAGGGAAAAGGATGTAAATGGAATTAAGATACATACATGTACCAAGTCCCCACAATGAATGTAACCATTATGTATGGCAAGCATGCACTAATAAAAATTGAAACAAAAAATAAAATTGAAATAAAGATCAGGCATGATGGTGGCATACACTTCTAATCCCAGCATTTGAGAGGCTGAGGCAAGAGGATCGCCAGGAGTTGGAGGCCAGCCTGGGCTACAGTGTGAATTCAAGGCCAGCCTGGGCTACACAGTGAGACCCTGACTCAAAAAATAAACAGATAACCCCCACTAAATCAGGTCAGTTCTTTATGGTTGAAAATTTATCACTGAAAATGTTCAGTCATTACTTTTGTCCTTTTATGGTAAGCACAATTTTGACTTTTTGAGAAAGTTGCACACAGATCCTAGGAACACTTATTTGAGAATAATTGCCTTAGCTACAAACTGCTTTCACCTTACAGATAATAAATAGTAATTCTGTGATGAGTGACGTGGGGATTTCAGACTTCTGAAGGATAATTATGCTGACTCCTGAACAATGATAGTGAAACCCATAGCTCTTGTTGGGGTATAAGTACCCGGGGTATAAGCAGGGAATTAAACCTTATCAAAGGAAAATGGAATTGTGACTAATCCATGGATGAAGATGGCGTCCTATGATCCAGTCATCTCCCCCAGTCCTGCCGGTATACACCTGAGACCTCTGAGGGACATTCTAGTAAATCACCACCCCGGGCAAGTGATCTGCTGCTCGGCTGTATCCCCAGGCTAGGAGGCTGCACCAGGGGAATGGGCGAGCTGGTTCTAAATCTATAGATGCACAAAGCACACAGCATAGCCAATGGAAATCTGAAAAGCTAAATCGCAAGCTGAAGGACTCATGCTACCCAATCGCAAAACTTACTGTGAAAGTTAGATTGAGGCACTTCCTGCTTTTGATTCTCCCCACCCCTACTCGTGAGTTTTGGGGTCCACACCTATAATCCCAGCACTCTGAGAGGTGGAGGTGGGAGGATTTCGAGTTTGAGCCCAGTTTGGGCAACATAGTGACCCTGTCTCAAAGTCAAAAAGAAAAAGAAAAAGCCGGGGAAGTAGCTCCCTGTAAAGGCCCTGAGTTCAATCGCCAATACTAGGAGACAAAAAAAAAAAAAAAAAAAAAAAAAAAACTACAGGAATAGTGGCAGAAAGGATCAAAATGCCAAACAAAAAAACAGGTACTTCCTAGATTCAGACAATGTGGACAAATGATTTTCTCTCTCTCTCTTTTTTTTTTTTTTTTTTTTTTTGTACCAGGGATCAAACTCACAACCTCACACTTACCAGGCAAGTGTCTGAGCTGCTGGGCTAAATCCCCGGTCCAGGATAAATAATTTTCAACAAGACTCACAAGGCAATTTAATGGCGGAAAGGAAAACCTGGTCGATAAGTAGTGCTGAAATAACTAATAATAAGAATAAGAATAAGATGACTTTATCACCTTATATCATGCACAGAAAATAATATACAATGAATCAAAAGTTCTAATGGGGGCTGGGGATTTAGCAGCATAAGTGCCTGCCTTGCAAGCGTGTGGTTGTGAGTTCGATCCCTGGTACCAGTTTAAGGGGAAAAAAAAGGGGTCTAATGGAATTATGTAATTAATTATAAAGCCTTTATAAGAGATATAAATCTAAGAGAAAAATCTTGGTGGCTACATTGCTACCCTCAATGCATCTAATTTTAATTCCATAGAATTGTAGAACAAGAAAAGCTCATGTGCAGTAACAAAAAGGAGCTGGAGATGAACGCTTGGCTGCAAGGCCTGGCTTTACTGCAAAGGGTTACACGACAACCTTGGCATGATGCTGGTGACCCATGTCTGGACTGGGGCCATAGTAGCATGAATGTACACACATGTTCAAAAAAAAGCCAGACATGGTGGCACACCAGTGAGTTCAGCTTGTGTGGAGGTTGAATCAGGAGGATCATGAGTTCAAATCCAGCCTAGCCTTCGTATCAAGTCCCTATCTCAAAAAATCCTCCCCAGCTGGGCATGGTGGCTTGCATCTGTAATCCTATTACTTGGGAGGCTGAGGCAGGAGGATTGTTGTGAGTTTGAGACCAGCTTGGGCTACAAAGTGAGCTCAAGGCCAGCCTGAACTACATAGAGAGACCCTGTCTCAAAAAAAAAAAAAAATCCTCCCCCCAAAATAACAAAAACACAACCAAACACCAAGAAAACTCTTTAAACTCCATACTTAAAATACTGTTTTGCATGCAAATGGTAACTCAAAAAAAGATTAAAAAGTAGAAATTCAGAGATCATTTTAAGCCATCATATTGGTAAAGATTCAAAAAAAAGTCAGCAGAAAAATGTGGAACATCTTTCTTTTTCAGGCAAGAACTGAACCCAGGGCCTCCCCTAGGCTGAGAAGCGCTGGGTCCCTGAGCCGCACCCCAGCCCCTGTGTGTCTGTTTAGGACCCCTGAGTCTGGGAGCACTCGAACTCTTTTGCAGGACTCAGGTCCTCTGGAGAACATCCTCCACCTGCTGTCCGTCTTTCCCAGCCCCGTAGGTGAGGCAGGGCGACCGCTCAGCTGCCCCACCGTGGAGCTGCAGCTGCTCTCCTGCAGCCCAGTTTGGTTCTGCTCCTTTCTCTGAGTCCCAAATTGTGTTCTACCTCAGAAAAGACAGTCTGACTGTTCTTGGACCACTCTTTTCAATTTTGTTTGCTTATTCCAGTTAACTTTTTTTTTTTTTTTTTGTCTCTAAAATAAAACTTAAAGCTGTAATTCCCATGCACGATTTACTGTTTGAAAGTCTTGATCCAGTGGTTTGGAAAGTTGTTTTCGCCAGCCATGCAGCCATGTTTACTTTCCAGTTCCACAGTGGAGCTATGCAGTTTGTGGCCTTTTGGGACTGGGTTCTCTCACAAGTGTTGATGCTTTCCGGATTCACCTCTGGTGTAGCGTGTGTCAGTTTTCATACCTGCCCCATGCCGTGGGGCAGGCCTCTGAATCCCAGTGCTTGAGAGGCTGAGGCAGGAGGATCACTGTGAATTTGAGGCCAACCTGGGCCATGTTGAATTAAGGGCAGCCTGAACTACAAATGAGACCCTGTCTCAACATAAAAAAAAAAAAAGTGAGTGTGTGAGAGTAGCTCTGTGCAAAGGCCTGTGTTAAATTCCCAGTGCAGTGGGGGAGGGGGATACTTAATAGGATTTAGAAAACAAGATATAAAAGTAACAAGCAAATGGAAATATGCTTAACTTGATTATCTGAAACAGGTAATTAAAACTAATGCAACTAAAGAATATTATAACTAAAACACACATCTTCTTTTCTTGTTCTGTGCAGTTCTGGGGATTGAACACAGGGCCTTTGCACTGAGCTACATTCCTTGTCTTTAGCCCCCTTCCCTCCATGTTTTAATTTTGAGGCCCTGGAATAGCTCATATTTCTGTAATATGAACTCTTTGGGGATGATAATATGCATGGGATAATTTCAATTCCTTTTCATTTACTTAAGTAGCTTCTATCAGCTAGTATGTGGTCTATTCTGGAGAAGGTCCCAGTGCAGCTGAGAAGAATGTGTATTCTGGTGTTCTGGGCTGGAACACCATAGACATCTATTAAGTCCATTTGTTTAAAAACTTGGTTCAGTTCTGGTATTTCTTTGTTGATTTTTGTCTAGTTGATCTATTTGTGACAGTGGGGTATTGAAGTCCCCCATTACAACTGTATTAGTGCTTATTTGATTCTTTATGTCTGTTAATATTTTTTATATAGTTGGATGCACTGGTATTTGATGCATATATATTTATGAGTGTTATCTCTTGCTCTTGGCTTGTTCCCTTTAGAAGGATGTAGTAACCTTCTTTATCTCTCTTAATGCTTGGTCACTTGAAATCCATTTTGTCTGCAAATAGAATAGTTACCCTTGTCTTTTTCTATGTTCTGGTGTGGAGTGTTGTGTTCCATCCTTTGACTTTGTGTCTATGAATTTCAAGTTAAATATGTTCCTTGGCCAGGCATCGTTGTGCACAGCTATAATCGTAGAACTTGGGAGGCTGAGGCTAGAGGTCATCCATAACTTTGAGGCCAGCCTGAACTGTGTAATGAGCTCAAAATGAGCCAGAACTACCGAGCAATATCTTGTCTCAAAAAAATAAAATAACATAAAATAAAATAAGTGTTTCTTTTATGTAGCATACTGTTGAATCTTGCTTCTTGATCTGTTCTGCCACTCTGTTTCCTTTGATTGATGAATTGAGACTCAGCATTGATGGGTATAACTGATATGTATTGATTTATCCTTGTCATGTTATTTTTCTGTTGTTGGTTCTCTTTTCTTCTTCCTCTGTTTAATTGCTTGCTTTGTCTCATGGATTCATTCTGTTGGGGTTCATGGAGTTGTAGTCCTTGTTAGCTCTTTCTAGAATGTCTTTCTGAACATTCAGCATGGTGGTTTGGTGGTCATAAATTTCTTTAGCTGTTCTTTGTCATGACAGTATCTTATTTCTTCATCAGTTTCTACATCACTCTTGAACAGTTTGTGGGATACATCAAACTGGGTTGGAGATTGTTTTCTATTAGGGCTTAAAATGCTTCATTCCATGCTCTCCTTGACTTGAGGGTCTGTGTTGCAAAGTCTGCTCTGATTCTGATCGGCTTTCCTTTGTAGGTGACTGGTTTCTTTTCTCTAACA